ACAACTTTTCTTCTCACTTTCATACCAAATTAAAGTCCTCACATCATTCTTAACTTAATAGATTTTTTAAACTACCCACTTTTTTTATTATATACATTATATCACCACCCTCTCACGTCTTGTTCATTTAATGCAGATGGGACTGGCAAGATTTGGGTGATTCTTCGCCTTTGGTCAACTTGACAATTTCCTTTCCCCCTCACCTCTCCGAACAACTTTCAGGTCTACCCAAGAACTTGCTCACTGTTGTGATTTGGCGGCCGCCGCTTCCAGGACTTGGGTCCAAGTTGAAGGGTCCTGAAGTTCGCGGATTGCTTATCGTTCGCACCTTCTTCTTTTACCAATACTATCGATTTGAGATCAGTAAGTATTGTCTTTAAGTTATCATCACATCCCGACGGGATAAGACACAACATTCATTAATTGTCAGATCATGATGAAGAGCCTTACAAGTGGCGTGGAGAAAGGAGCGTTTATATCCGCAAGGGATTTCTTGAATTCCACTACTGAATATTAGGTCGCTGAGGTTCATTTCGAGACTGGTAGTTGTGCTTTATCCACATTCTGATAAGTAGGCCTGACGATGCCGTCAAATGTCACCTAACCTTGCCTTGAAAAGTTTATCCCATCCAAACTGAACTGCAGTTTCCTCCTGGCCTTAAACTCAACAGTAGCCCTAGTCGGATTCGATACCGGGTCTGAAGTAGCGGGAGTGAGATGCCTTATATTTTCCTGTTGTTTTATCTCTCATTTCCATTGAAGAGGCAGATGCAAAGCATTCGTAAATCAGTCTAACTGGAAACACTTTAAATGTCTGTGACGCATCGTATTGTGATTTCTATCAAAGCGTGAACTGGTTCTTACTATTTTTTAAATATTGAATCCCGTTCTTTTTCTTAATTAGATTATATTTTGACTGAACGTCTGTTTTCTCACCAAAATTACAGGAATTTCTGTTTTAACTTTTGGAAAATCTTGTAATTGTGTCACTCTGCACTTGTATTCTGTGTATGCCCCACTCACAAGTCTGCTGAAGGTGCAGAGGCCATGACCGGAGTCAAGACTTCAATTTCCATTTACTTTCATATGCTCTTTCCTCCTAACCAAAATGTTGACAAATCCTGCCTATCCAGCACATTTGTCCTCAATTCTCCATTTCTGCGTCCCACCAGTTCCACTCTTCGCATTCACGAACTTTTGCAGGTAGTTTTTCTGCTCAGATAACCTCTTCGGCATAGCTTTGCAGGCCTCCTCCACACATACGCTTCCGCATGAGCCTTGAACTGTGTAACAACCGGATCTGGACAGCGAGGAAAAAGGGGAGAGTGAGAGTCCGAAAATAAAACATCACTGAGGAAAGTTTTTATTTCCTCTTTATACATTCTGCATATGTATCACACCTCTTCTGTAGCCATTTCAATCGTCCTCAAGAATGTAGAGAACATATGAAATGAGATGTCTCGTGACGTGGAAGAGGTTAGACTGTTACACACTTTTTTGTCTTCCCATAACGAAGGCTCAGCATGGATACATCGGGTTCACATAGATACACTGTCACAACCTGAAAGCATTCATCTTCCTTCTGTTCCTGATGAGGCCAGTTTATATATTCTGTCTAAATGTATTGTCATAAGGTTAACTACTACAACTTTGGTATGTAGGAAAAGTGAGTTTCCAAGAATTCCTTCATTTCGTTTGAAGATACGGGTGGAAAAGATTCGTAAATTGGTCCCATTGGAAGCTGTAGGGGGATTGCCTTGGAGCTGTAATTGTAGATGTGTGTGAATGGGTCCTCGACGTACAGACCTGCGACTCCGATCAATCCTTGTGGTACAACAACATTAACTTTTTTTAGAGGGTCTTCCAAACCCTGCCTCCCTTCATGTCTGTCCTATTCTTGGCTTTACTCTTTTTCAGGACTAATCCCTTCTTTGAAGCCTGTGCTCGAGAGCGTACGTTTGGATCAAGAGTCAGAGAAAAAGGCTTCGCTCAGAGTTGATCTGATCAAACTACAGTCAAAAGCTCTACAAACTCCGGAGTCTCGTGATGCATCTCGGCCTCTTGAAAATATAGGTGACAGAGTCTCCTTGCACAAGTCGCCAGTATTCCCCAAAATCACGTTTCTTGGTTCGGTACAGCAAGACGGTCTATTATCTTTGAACAGAGAGCCAAATCTCGACTTTGGTAAGAGTCAGACATGTTATTTATATTTTTAATTTTGCACGTATGCAATTAAACAAAACAGTGCATTTGTGCTTTACCTATAGTTGAGCACTTATACTGATAAATTTCGCATAAATTTAACTGTTGCTAGGCTCTTAAAACAAATAATAATGAGTTTTTTCAAAAAAAATGTATTCACCCTGGGTCGCACAAAGTTACGAAGGACTGTGTTTGAATTTACCCACAATTAGAGGAGTATGCCTCATGATACCATTAAATTTCGCGTAGCTTCACTCCCCAGTTTTCTCTTTCAGGATTGACTGGGTCTCATCAGAAAAGGAAGTTAATATTATGTGACTATATA